ACTTAGCATAGCATTTTGATACTTGGACTGTTTCATTACTCTTCATGATTAATAATGAATGTAGAAACAATTTCTACTGTATTTCCTTTACTGACAGGAATTACGGGACTCGGAAGTCCAAGTTAAGGCTTACAAAGAGAGGCTGGCCTCACTTTCAGAGGTAAAAGATGGAAAAGCGGATTTAGCAGATGCTAACTCAGACACAGCTTTAACAATCAAAAAACTTCAAAATGAACAGCGTAATGTGAGTAGATTTACCTACTTAAATTATGTGAGTAGTTGATTATCATATTTAAGATCTTTGAACCATACAGTTTCGTCAATGGACTTCAAAACTGGTTGAACAGCTAAAACTTGAGAACATGGAAAACGAGGAAGAATATCCCCTACTTATGGATGCAATAGCAGGTGAGTAAGGCTGAGAGATCGCTTTTCTCGTTTTCAGGTTTTCTGCCTTTTGTGTAGCTTGGGTTGAGGCATTCGATGGCGTAGCAATATATCGCAATTAAGTTTAAAGGAAGATAGGAACCACAAATAGTTCGTTTCATGCTTTAGTCCGTGTGAAGGCTCTGGTAACTAACGAGAGTGAAAAGATTGCCACTCAAAGGTCGCGCCTCGCACAACTTCAACAGCGAAACCATGAATTTCGCGAACGCAATGATGCCATGGAAATTCAGCTGACTCTGCTCCGTCGTCGTCTTGCCAGCTTGGAGGATGGGGAAGCAGAGACGCGTAAACGTCTTGCCTCTGCGGCTGCGATGGATCGGGTGCACAAACGATTAAATAGACAGTTGGAACAAGCAAGAGCGGAGGTCTATGCACTGCAGGCGGAAAATGATCGGTTGAAAAATGAGTCGAATGGTGAGAGGCAGAACGCAGTAAGTGGACAAGTTCTTATTTTTTCGTAGAAGTTCTAGAAACGAAGTCAACTCAATGTAGTCCTGAAGTTATGGTTGCTGCTATATTCTTTTAAACTACTTAGTGCACTAAAGCCCTATAAAACTGGCTAGAAAGATGGAGACCTAATTGCAAAACGGACGCAAGCATTTTTAACAGGCTCATTTTGAAAGGCACGTGGCAAAAGTACAAAACAATAGGTAGCATGAGCGCTTATTGTCATGGAATTGCGACATGGACTTCGTAGACGTCCTATCATTGTGTTGACTCCAATCCGCATTTAATAGTATCACTCCTAAATTATGATTTCGTATATGTGCTTTGGATAGACATTTGAGTAAGTTGAGAGTCGCCTTTGTTCATACTATGGCTAGTTTTTAATTATGATTTACAATGAACTAGTCTGGAGTGCCCGCATTTGCAATTGATAATATTCGGGTGATTGCCTTATTTAACAACGAATTTTACTCGAATTTGATTGGTTGATTCTTAAAAGTCCAAACTCTGCTGATTTTCTATATTTTGGAAGTGAATCACTAAATTGTTAATGCTCACATTCCCATTTGCACGTCAAAATCTCGAATGACCTCTCACCTCGTCGATGTCGATCGAATTGTTGGCAATTGTAGGCGAAATTCGAAAACTCTAGCAAAATGTAGTCTTTCTTCATTTCCTCCTTTATTCATGTTTTGCCTTTCGCTTTTGCCAAACGCAAGGAGGGTGAAGGCATAACATCGACTACCTTTAACCATCTGAACTGAAGGTGAGTTAATTTGCGTGCATTACGGGGTTAGTCACGGAGTTATGAAATGGACTTCCACTTTTAACCACCAATGCATTTTTACGACTGTGAAGATTTTTTGCAACTCCACTACATTTTGCAGCAAGTGATCAGCACCATCCGCATTGGCATGCCCGGCTTTCATTTGAAGTAACCTTCATTTTTGGCACAATTTTTTTTGGAACATTACTTGACAATTTATTCCAATTGCACAACTGGCTAACGTACAACGTGCTTCTGGACTACAAATCGCGAATTACTCCCAACTTTCCTTATCAGTTGGCAGCTGTGGGTACAAATGCTCTCCTTCATGCTGCCGAGTCTCGAGTTAACGATCTTCAAGCACAGTGTGAGCGATTGGAAAACGAAGCTCAGGGTTTGAGACGCGAGAAGCTCCATCTGGAAACATCTTCAAATTCGACCGTTCGAAATATGCAAAAGCGAATTGCTAATCTAGAAGACGAACTCGACAAAGTTCGACGCTCGGAATGTCAGGCAAGTAAAGTCATGCTGAAGAGAGTAAACATTTTAACTCAACAATAAACAACCTTCACTTTGGTAGTCTCTACTAAGTAACTGCTAAGTAGTTGGAAGTTGTGGTGGAGGGGATTTGTGGTTGAACATTATTGATGAAGAAGGAGGAAACCTCTTAATACGCATTTTCGAAGACAAACGTTAAATGCGTTTGTAAAATTAATGAATTTTAGTTATATTGTCTTATTAAACTGCGAGCCGAAAGTAGAATGTGATCCGAGATTTGAAGTAATTATTTAGTTTTCAACTTAATCGTCCATCAATTTGGGCGCTTAAAACTCTCCAAATTGAAGCATTCCTTTGGAAAAAAGATTTAAATTATGCTCAAGGAAATGGAATTTATGTTGGAAAAATGTTGGAAAGTGTTAAGGCAAATTAAAAGTTGCTTGGTTTTGTTTTGATGCTGGAGTGGGCAGTGGACTGGTCAACTCAATGTCCGAAGGGTTATTTCGTAATTCGAAACATTTCCTCTAACCAGTAAAGGTCTGGTTTGTTCCCTTTTCTTTTTGTCATCTAGCTGCTGGAATTCCGGGTTGTTGTGGCTCGGTTACTCAACTTCGAGTGCGATAATCTAAGTGTGCCGGATTTTGAGATCGTGCATCGTCTGGAACAGGTCGTGTTGGCGTTGGATTCTCCGGGCATCCAGGGGCTTCATAAGAGTGCGCCATCGGAATGACTGCAAATTTAGCCCTTTTCCCCTCCCACACAGATCATTATAAAGTTGATTTTAAGCATAATCTTCTACCATTCCTGAAGAAATAAATAAAAAAAGTCGAACGCTTTGAATTCGGTAAAAATTTGTTCATAAGTCATATCTGAAATCGCATTTAACTTATCAAGAAGGTCATTGGAGGAGCAGCGAGGTCAATACATTTCGGACCTTAAAGAGGTGGCGTCCACATGTCCAATGATCGAGACTGCAAGACTTGACGCATCTCGTCTTGGAAGGCTAGGAGACTGGTGAGGGGATGGAACATCACCCGGTCACTGGGCTTAGAGCTTGTGGCGGTGGTCGGAGGATAAGGAGGTGGAGGTAGAGAGGTGCAAACAACCTTTGAAGCAGTAGCGGAAGTGCTTAAATTAAGTGCCACCTCCTCATTTTGTGGGGGCGGTAGAGGTGATGCAGGGTCATCGAAACCGGCACGCGACTCGAGGCTGGAAGGTGTAGGGGAATGAAGAAGTTTGGAGGGTGGAAGAGGCTCCATATTGCCTCTGTTCTCACAAGTACCTCCACCAGCCTCCTCCTCGTCTCCTCCAGCTTCATCTCCTCCCCCTATTCCTCCTTCCTCCTCTTCCAACCGCAGACGTTTGAACTTGGTTCGTCGGTTCTGGAACCACACTTTAACCTACAAGATTATTAGGAACTTAAGTTCCTAAACCCCAATATTTTTATAGATTTCATGCTTCCAGAGTGTAGGTAGCTCCTACTTTCTATCTTACAATAATATCCGAATTACCACATGATTCAGGACATCGTAAAATTAACAGCATTACCTGTGTCTCTGTAAGACTGAGCGACTCCGCAAGTCGTCTCCTCTCCTGCCCCACGACATAGTGGTTCATCTCAAATGCGCTCTCTAGTCGCAATAACTGAGAAGGCGAAAAGGCCGTTCGAATTCGCTTCGGTTTACGATAGGGTCGGATGCTGTTAGCCATAGCATCTGCATGCACAAAGGGAAGTCAAAAACATTTCCTCATTCAGTCAGTCGGACATTTTTAGTCTGTCTAAACACCCAAAGGTTGTGTAATTTTCCGATAATCTAAGGAAACTTTTATTATAGGAGACTGGTAATAAAATGATTTCAGGAAAATCACACTCTGGGCACATGAATTGACGTTTGAGTATTTTTTTAGTGAAGCTTTATTGGAATTTATT